CGTCTGCTAAATGACGTAAATGTAATGTAAATATCTTACATTTCAGTGTGAAAGCTAAAAGCAAGAAAACCGCGCCAAGCTACGTATTTCTATGCTCACTATTCTGCATAAATGATAACAGGGTCATGCAGGAGGTCAGTTGAACGCCTGCATCACCCTGCCCAAGCTTATGTTTATGTGCACTGAAGTTTTGTTCCAGTAGGGGGTGGTGTGTCAGTGGTCTGACCATTGACATGAGACGAGGGTCCTGCAAGTTTCAACGTTTATTTGCCATGCCATGTTCACAGGATGCAACCGGTGTAAAACAGTACAGTGAAATTCTTATCTTGAGAGCTCTTTCCCAACAAGAAAGTGATAATAATATAGAATAAAAAATTAAATTGAGTTAGAAACACGAGAATGCAAGTATATACAGGTCAGTGCCAGTACCTTATTCATTGTGTAAGGGTACTGGACTGGTTGAGGTGGGTTTATACATAAAACGTGAATGATAGTAGGATATACATGCAAACAGGGCTGAAAAATGACTGTTAGCAGGAATATATAAATACTTATGGTAAGATACTAATGGTAATATGTACATGTAAACAGGAGTAATAGTGACCAGTAGCAGGATAAATAGTAATGGGAATGGCAATCAATAATCAATGGACAGCAGTGTAATGGAGTAATAAATCTAATCAATAATAATTTTTGCAGCAGCATAGGTTGTGTCTGAGTGGGTAGAGACCTGTGGATGGCAGTAGTTGTTAGCCATTTAACAGCCTTATGGCCAGGGGATACAGTGCCTTGCAAAAGTATTCATCCCCCTTGGTGTTTTTCTTATTTTGTTGCATTACAACCTGTCATTTAAATTGATTTTTATTTGGATTTCATGTAATGGACATACACAAAATAGTCAAAATTGGTGAAGTGAAATGAAATAAATAACTAATTTCTAAAAATTCTAAAAAATAAATAACGGAAAGGTGGTGCGTGCATATGTATTCACCTCCTTTGCTATGAAGCCCCTAAATAAGATCTGGTGCAACCACTTACCTTCAGAAGTCACATAATTAGATAAATAAAGTCCACCTGTGTGCAATCTGTGTCACATGATCTGTCACACGATCTCAGTATATATACACCTGTTCTGAAAGGCCCCAGAGTCTGCAACACCACTAAGCAAGCTGTCACGACTTCCTCCGAAGCTGCCTCCTCTCCTTGTTCGGGCAGGCTTCGGCGTTCGTCGTCACCGGCCTTCTAGCCACTGCCGCTCCTCATATCTTCATTACATTTGTTTTGTCACACACCTGGTTCATATCCCCTCATCAGTACCTGTATGAGTGTTCCCTCTGCCCGCTTGTCTTTGTGTGTGATTGTTTATAGTAGAGGAGATTATAGCTCGGTGGAGCTCAATTTCTATTGCTGTGTTGTTCACCCGTGTCTTTATTCCCCAGTGCGGCGGTTGTCCGCACTGGTGTGTATTACGCATTGCTGCGTACCACTGTTTATTGATTAAACCATTTATTCTGTGATTTACTCTCCTGCGTCTGGGGGGTGGGGGGGGTTTGTTTCACACACAAAAAAATATTTTGCGTCTTCAAAGTGGGAGGCATGTTGTGTAAATCAAATTATAGTAACCCCCAAACATTTTATTCCAGGTTGTAAGGCAACAAAATAGGAAAAATGCCAAGGGGGGTGAATACTTTCGCAAGCCACTGTAGAAGCTGTTTAGGAGTCTGTTTGTCTGAGCGTTGATGCACCTGTACCGCCTGCCAGACAGGAGCATGGAGAACAGTCCATGTCTCGGGTGGCTGGAGTCTTTGTAGATTTTTCAGGCCTGTGCCGTCGGCACCACCCTCTGTAGGGCCTTCTGGTTGTGAGCGGTGCAGTTGCCATACCAGATGGTGATGCAACCAGTCAGGATGCTCTCAATGGTGCAGCTGTAAACGTTCCTGAGGATCTGAGGGGCCGTGCCAAATCGTATCAGCCTCCTGAGGGACAAGAGGCGTTGCCGTCCGTTCTTCACGACTGTGCTGGTATGAGAGGACCATGTTAAGTCCTCACTGATGTGGACACCGAGGAACCTGAAGCTCTTGACCCTCTCCACTGCGGCCTTGTCGATGTGGATCAACCCCCCCTGATGTTGAGGGAAAGGTTGTTGTCCTGGCACCACACTGCCAGTGTGCCCACCTGGGCTCGGCACGTCAGGAAGTCCAGGATCCAGTTGCAGAGGGAGGTGTTCAGTCCCAGGTTCCCGAGCTTGGTGACGAGCACTACGGTATTGAACGCTGAGCTGTAGTTGATGAACAGCATTCTCACATAGTTATTCCTCTTGTTCAGGTGGGAGAGGGCAGTGTGGATTGAGATTGTATCATCTGTAGATCAGTTGGGGCGGTGTGCAAATTGGAGTGGGTCTGGGATGATGGAGGTGATGTGTGCCATGACTAGCCTTTTAAAGCACTTCATTGTTACAGATGTTAGTGCTACAATGGGAAGTCATTGTGGCAGGTAGCCTTAGATTTCTTGGGAACAGGAATGATGGTGGTCAGCTAGAGACGTGGGGATTACAGACTGGGACAAGGAGAGGTTGAATATGACCTTGAAGATGCCTGCCAGCTGCCTTGCGAGTGTTGACTAGATAAAAAACCTTACTCACGTTGGCCTCAGAGAGTGAAATCACCCAATCCTCTGGGACGGTGGGGGCCCTCGTGCACGGCTCAGTGTTGTTTTGTCAAAATGTGCATGAAATGCATTGAGTTCGTCTGGTAGAGAGGCATCATTGGATAGATCACAGCTAGGTCTACCTTTGTAATCCTTAATGGACTGTAGCCCATGCCACCTGCATCGAGCGTCGGAGCCGGTCTAAAAGGATTCCACCTTGTTCCTATATTGTCATTTTGCCTGTTTGATGGCTCTGCGGAGGTCGTAGCGGACTTCTTGTACATGTTCATGTCCTCAGCCGTAGCATCGAGGTTGGCTGTGATAGCTCTGTCCTTTAGCTTAGCACTTACCTCAGTGTTAATCCAGGGTTTATGATTTGGGAAGCAGCGAACCTTTACTGTGGAGACAACATCGGTGATGCATTTCCTGATGAAGCCCGAGACAGAGGTGATTACCTCGTCGTTGCTATTGGCGGAGTCCCGAAACATATTCCAGTCAACACTAGCAGTCCTACAACGTAGCTTCCGATTTGGAGGACCATTTCTCTACGGAGCACGTCACGAGCATTTCCTTTTTTGAGCTTCTGTTTGTAAACAGGAAGCGGGAGTATAGAGACGTGATCTGATTTGCCGAAAGGGGGATGAGGGAGGGCCTTGTATGCTTGCTTGTGGGTTGTGTAAATGGTCAGCATGCTTCAGTTCGGCTGGCGCCTAGCCGAAATCGGCTAGCCGAACCGAACAAGTGTGCTTCCCTTAAAAGACCATCGCTTGAAAAACTAGAAAAAAGCGGCAATAGTACCGTTTGTCCATTTTGAGACGCCATAGCCAGTATACACTTCCTCAAAATAGTCAGAATTAATCTAAGATAACTCAAGAAATCTGTCATTAACTTTTTTGCAGAGGAGATCTTAGTCACGCAATTCTAGATCTAACTAAAACGTTTGGTGCAGTATTTCTCAATGAAAAAATGTGCATGAAAACGAGCCATCACTCGTTGAATGACAACAGACTTTATTGAAGAATCCCTACTGTTGACCAATCACCGACGAAGGGGCGTAGACATTGGCTCCGAAACTTCGGCTTGCCTTCATAAAGAAATGTGTGTGTCCGAGCAGCCCCCCAAAAACTCACAAAGTCCAAAACGATCAAAAACGTCACAAAACACTTCCAACCTGTTTTGGCTGGGAAGCATGCGGATGCCTTAACAGTGGTCTAGGACTTTATCGCCCCTAGTGGCGAAGGAGACTTGTTAATAGAAGTTTGGCATCACGTGTCTTAGTGACGCAGAATTGAAATCACAGGCAACAAGAAAAGCAGCCTCCGGGTGCATGTTTTCCTGCTGGTTTATAGCCTCATGCAGTTCGTTAAGCTTGTTGTTGTTGTCCTGAGGTGTTGTTGATGAAGAGACATACCCCTCCCCCTCTGGATTTCCCTGAATCCAATGACCTGTCCCCTCGGAGAATGGGGAATCCATTGAGTTGGATAGCAATGGGGGTTATCTTGTCCGAAAGCCATGCTTTAGAAAAACAGATAATATTGCAGTTACGAGAGTCCGGTTGATATCAAATCTGCGATCGGAGATCATCCAGTGACTATAGAATGGAGGGAAGTGGTAGCTGGTTTTCCCTTTGCCTTAGTCTCAACAGGACGCCCGATCTCTTGCCTCTTTGCCGCCGTTTCCTCTTGAGTAGCCCGAAGAGTGGATTGGAGGTACATAAAGAGCCCAAGGCGGATGAGTCGAAGTTGAAATTGAGGTTAGTTACTGCTGATCTGATGTTCAAAATTTTTTGTTGATCATAAGAAATGATAGTGGATACATTTAGTGCAAATAAAGTACAGATAAACGCCAAAATAATCACAAAATAGCAAGGTTGGGTCGGCGTCCTCAAGACGGCAGCCATACAGTACAGCGCCATATTACTATTCCATTTTGTGCAATGCAGAGTGAGTGTGATGCGTGAGTGTGATGTTTCAGCTTATATGTAAATTCTGCACATATTGGGGATTAATGTAAATGTACAGAGAAATTCATGTGCATATATTATATGGATTAAATGATTTTACCAAATACAAGCAGATAGTCTTTCTTTACTATTTATTAGACACTTTCTACCTTTATTGGTAATGAAGTCCAGTAAATGTTGAATGATACTGTACAAGGTGTAGTAGGTCTATGGGTCAGTCCCACATTTTTCAGAATCTGCCTGAATAGTTTAAATAATTTACAGAAGACATTCATAGACATCATTTCCCGATCCCGTTTAATAAAACAACAAAGAATAAATCAGCTCATCACACAATTTTATTAATCCAAACCTAACGGAAAGGCAGAGGTTCAGACATGATTTTGGCCTCTCAGACATCAGTCTCAGAATAGAAACCAATGCCTCCAAAACCAGTGACATTGGAGATCCATCGAAAGTAGCGTGACACACGAGTGTAGATGCCATACTTCCCCTCCTTGGCGCACTCCTCGCCCCAGCTCACAATGCCCGTCAGGAACCAGGTGTCCCGGTACCGGGTGGCATGTGGACCGCCACTGTCCCCCTTGCATGAATCCTTTTGCTCGCTGTAGTAACCAGCACAGAACATGAAGCGGGACACCCGTTCTGCGCTGCTGCCCTTGCACTCTGTCCGGTCCACATAGGGCACCTCCACCTTCTGCAGAATGGAGGCTTCAGGGCCCTGGAAGCGCATCCTGCCCCAGCCGCTGACCACTGAGCTGGAGGCCTCTCTCAGCACCGTCTCAGTGAAGTCCTTGGGCCCCAGGCAGATGGGGAGGCTGTAGTCAGAGAGGACTGCGGGCGTGAGGAGCTTCAGCAGGGCTATGTCGTGGTTGTACTGGCTTGTCTTTGCGTCGTATCGCGGGTGCATGTGATGCTCAGCAACAGAGTGGTCGTGCTCGGTCTCCTCTCTGACCTGCATGTTGTGCTCCCCTGCAGAGACACGTTGTGATCAGATACAAAAGCTGAAGAACATTTGCACATCCAGGTACTTTTTTTTGCAGGTGCTGGAGTTATAGGTGAGTTCATGAAAAATAAAAACGATAACGCAGCACACTGCTGTTCATGCTCCCAGGTGATTTTATTGACACACCGTTTCAACCCATAGGTGTTTGTTCATCAGGCAAAATCTTGGATGACTGATGAAGACCTAAGGGTCGAAACCAGTGGAGGCTGCTGAGCGGAGAACAGCTCATAATAATGGTCGGAACAGAGCAAATGGAATGGCGTCAAACACCTGGAAACCATGTGTTTAAAGTATTTGATACCATTCCCCGGATTCCGCTCCAGTCATTACCACGAGCCCGTTCTCCCCAATTAAGGTGCCACCAACCTCCTGTCGTCGAAACATGTCAATAAAACCACCTGTTAGCATGAACAGCAGTGCGTGACGTTTTTATTTGTATTTTGTATTGTGATCAGATAAACAGGATTTGAATGAGTGAAGCACAAAGACAAAATAGGCGGCATCACTCCTACCTGGTTTAACTCCACCTACTGATGAAGAAGGATCCAATCTTACCCTCGTTCAGGCAGTGGGCAGCAGTAATGACCCACAGCTCACTGAGGAGAGAGCTCTGCCCGGTCAGCTTGCTCATCAGAGACAACTGGCGAGTCCCAGAGATTAGCACAGACAACAGCAGTCTTAACACATTGACTGGAGGGGCTTAACCTCTACGAGACATTACACCAGATAGGGAACATAGACAGAGACACTACACTAGATAGGACACATAGACAGAGACATTACACTAGATAGGACACATAGACGCGACATTAACAACCATATAGGACACATAGACAGAGACATGACACCCGATATGACACATAGACAGAGACATTATACCAATAGGACACATAGACAGAGACATTACACGACACATACAGATAGACACATAGACAGAGACTTACACAGATGGGAACATAGACAGAGACATTATACCAGATAGGACACATAGACAGAGACATTACACCAGATAGGACACATGACACATTAGACAGAAGAACATAGACAACATTACACAGATAGGACACATCAGAGACATAGACAGAGACATTACACTAGATAGGACACATAGACAGAGACATTACACTAGATAGGACACATAGACAGAGACATTATACCAGATAGGACACATAGACAGAGACATTACACTAGATAGGACACATAGACAGAGACATTATACCAGATAGGGAACATAGACAGAGACATTACACCAGATAGGACACATAGACAGAGACATTACACCAGATAGGACACATAGACAGAGACATTACACTAGATAGGACACATAGACAGAGACATTACACCAGATAGGACACATAGACAGAGACATTACACTAGATAGGACACATAGACAGAGACATTATACCAGATAGGGAACATAGACAGAGACATTATACCAGATAGGACACATAGACAGAGACATTACACTAGATAGGACACATAGACAGAGACATTATACCAGATAGGGAACATAGACAGAGACATTACACCAGATAGGACACATAGACAGAGACATTACACCAGATAGGACACATAGACAGGACCCATTAGACAGAGACCATTACACTAGATAGGGACACCATAAGACAGAGGACATTACACTCGATAGGACCCAACATAGGCGACATTATACCAGATATTGGACACTAGACGGACATTACACTAGATAGGACACATAGACAGAGACATTATACCAGATAGGGAACATAGACAGAGACATTACACTAGATAGGACACATAGACAGAGACATGAGACATTACACCAGATAGGGAACAGAGACAGAGACATTACACTAGATAGGACACATAGACAGAGACATTATACTAGATAGGGAACATAGACAGAGACATTACACTAGATAGGACACATAGACAGAGACATTATACCAGATAGGACACATAGACAGAGACATTACACCAGATAGGGAACATAGACAGAGACATTACACTAGATAGGACACATAGACAGAGACAGGACAGCGGAGTCACTCACCACCTTCCGGAGACACTTGAAACCCCACCTCTTTAAGGAATACCTGGGATAGGATAAAGTAATCCTTCTACCCCCCCTTACCCCACCCAAAAAAATAAAAAATAAACATATTGTAAAGTGTTATCCCACTGGCTATAAGGTGAATGCACCAATTTGTAAGTCGCTCTGGATAAGAGCGTCTGCTAAATGACGTAAATGTAATGTAAATATCTTACATTTCAGTGTGAAAGCTAAAAGCAAGAAAACCGCGCCAAGCTACGTATTTCTATGCTCACTATTCTGCATAAATGGTAACAGGGTCATGCAGGAGGTCAGTTGAACGCCTGCATCACCCTGCCCAAGCTTATGTTTATGTGCACTGAAGTTTTGTTCCAGTAGGGGGTGGTGTGTCAGTGGTCTGACCATTGACATGAGACGAGGGTCCTGCAAGTTTCAACGTTTATTTGCCATGCCATGTTCACAGGATGCAACCGGTGTAAAACAGTACAGTGAAATTCTTATCTTGAGAGCTCTTTCCCAACAAGAAAGTGATAATAATATAGAATAAAAAATAAAATTGAGTTAGAAACACGAGAATGCAAGTATATACAGGTCAGTGCCAGTACCTTATTCATTGTGTAAGGGTACTGGACTGGTTGAGGTGGGTTTATACATAAAACGTGAATGATAGTAGAATATACATGCAAACAGGGCTGAAAAATGACTGTTAGCAGGAATATATAAATACTTATGGTAAGATACTAGTGGTAATATATACATGTAAACAGGAGTAATAGTGACCAGTAGCAGGATAAATAGTAATGGTAATGGCAATCAATAATCAATGGACAGCAGTGTAATGGAGTAATAACTCTAATCAATAATAATTTTTGCAGCAGCATAGGTTGTGTCTGAGTGGGTAGAGACCTGTGGATGGCAGTAGTTGTTAGCCATTTAACAGCCTTATGGCCAGGGGATACAGTGCCTTGCAAAAGTATTCATCCCCCTTGGTGTTTTTCTTATTTTGTTGCATTACAACCTGTCATTTAAATTGATTTTTTATTTGGATTTCATGTAATGGACATACACAAAATAGTCAAAATTGGTGAAGTGAAATGAAATAAATAACTAATTTCTAAAAATTCTAAAAAATAAATAACGGAAAGGTGGTGCGTGCATATGTATTCACCTCCTTTGCTATGAAGCCCCTAAATAAGATCTGGTGCAACCACTTACCTTCAGAAGTCACATAATTAGATAAATAAAGTCCACCTGTGTGCAATCTGTGTCACATGATCTGTCACACGATCTCAGTATATATACACCTGTTCTGAAAGGCACCAGAGTCTGCAACACCACTAAGCAAGGGGCACCACCAAGCAAGCTGTCACGACTTCCTCCGAAGCTGCCTCCTCTCATTGATCGGGCAGGCTTCGGCGTTCGTCGTCACCGGCCTTCTAGCCACTGCCGCTCCTCATATCTTCATTACATTTGTTTTGTCACACACCTGGTTCATATCCCCTCATCAGTACCTGTATGAGTGTTCCCTCTGCCCGCTTGTGTTTGTGTGTGATTGTTTATAGTAGAGGAGATTATAGCTCGGTGGAGCTCAATTTCTATTGCTGTGTTGTTCACCCGTGTCTTTATTCCCCAGTGCGGCGGTTGTCCGCACTGGTGTGTATTACGCATTGCTGCGTACCACTGTTTATTGATTAAACCATTTATTCTGTGATTTACTCTCCTGCGTCTGGGGGGTGGGGGGGGTTTGTTTCACACACAAAAAATATTTTGCGTCTTCAAAGTGGGAGGCATGTTGTGTAAATCAAATGATAGTAACCCCCAAATATTTTATTCCAGGTTGTAAGGCAACAAAATAGGAAAAATGCCAAGGGGGGTGAATACTTTCGCAAGCCACTGTAGAAGCTGTTTAGGAGTCTGTTTGTCTGAGCGTTGATGCACCTGTACCGCCTGCCAGACAGGAGCATGGAGAACAGTCCATGTCTCGGGTGGCTGGAGTCTTTGTAGATTTTTCAGGCCTGTGCCGTCGGCACCACCCTCTGTAGGGCCTTCTGGTTGTGAGCGGTGCAGTTGCCATACCAGATGGTGATGCAACCAGTCAGGATGCTCTCAATGGTGCAGCTGTAAACGTTCCTGAGGATCTGAGGGGCCGTGCCAAATCGTATCAGCCTCCTGAGGGACAAGAGGCGTTGCCGTCCGTTCTTCACGACTGTGCTGGTATGAGAGGACCATGTTAAGTCCTCACTGATGTGGACACCGAGGAACCTGAAGCTCTTGACCCTCTCCACTGCGGCCTTGTCGATGTGGATCAACCCCCCCTGATGTTGAGGGAAAGGTTGTTGTCCTGGCACCACACTGCCAGTGTGCCCACCTGGGCTCGGCACGTCAGGAAGTCCAGGATCCAGTTGCAGAGGGAGGTGTTCAGTCCCAGGTTCCCGAGCTTGGTGACGAGCACTACGGTATTGAACGCTGAGCTGTAGTTGATGAACAGCATTCTCACATAGTTATTCCTCTTGTTCAGGTGGGAGAGGGCAGTGTGGATTGAGATTGTATCATCTGTAGATCAGTTGGGGCGGTGTGCAAATTGGAGTGGGTCTGGGATGATGGAGGTGATGTGTGCCATGACTAGCCTTTTAAAGCACTTCATTGTTACAGATGTTAGTGCTACAATGGGAAGTCATTGTGGCAGGTAGCCTTAGATTTCTTGGGAACAGGAATGATGGTGGTCAGCTAGAGACGTGGGGATTACAGACTGGGACAAGGAGAGGTTGAATATGACCTTGAAGATGCCTGCCAGCTGCCTTGCGAGTGTTGACTAGATAAAAAACCTTACTCACGTTGGCCTCAGAGAGTGAAATCACCCAATCCTCTGGGACGGTGGGGGCCCTCGTGCACGGCTCAGTGTTGTTTTGTCAAAATGTGCATGAAATGCATTGAGTTCGTCTGGTAGAGAGGCATCATTGGATAGATCACAGCTAGGTCTACCTTTGTAATCCTTAATGGACTGTAGCCCATGCCACCTGCATCGAGCGTCGGAGCCGGTCTAAAAGGATTCCACCTTGTTCCTATATTGTCATTTTGCCTGTTTGATGGCTCTGCGGAGGTCGTAGCGGACTTCTTGTACATGTTCATGTCCTCAGCCGTAGCATCGAGGTTGGCTGTGATAGCTCTGTCCTTTAGCTTAGCACTTACCTCAGTGTTAATCCAGGGTTTATGATTTGGGAAGCAGCGAACCTTTACTGTGGAGACAACATCGGTGATGCATTTCCTGATGAAGCCCGAGACAGAGGTGATTACCTCGTCGTTGCTATTGGCGGAGTCCCGAAACATATTCCAGTCAACACTAGCAGTCCTACAACGTAGCTTCCGATTTGGAGGACCATTTCTCTACGGAGCACGTCACGAGCACTTCCTTTTTTGAGCTTCTGTTTGTAAACAGGAAGCGGGAGTATAGAGACGTGATCTGATTTGCCGAAAGGGGGATGAGGGAGGGCCTTGTATGCTTGCTTGTGGGTTGTGTAAATGGTCAGCATGCTTCAGTTCGGCTGGCGCCTAGCCGAAATCGGCTAGCCGAACCGAACAAGTGTGCTTCCCTTAAAAGACCATCGCTTGAAAAACTAGAAAAAAGCGGCAATAGTACCGTTTGTCCATTTTGAGACGCCATAGCCAGTATACACTTCCTCAAAATAGTCAGAATTAATCTAAGATAACTCAAGAAATCTGTCATTAACTTTTTTGCAGAGGAGATCTTAGTCACGCAATTCTAGATCTAACTAAAACGTTTGGTGCAGTATTTCTCAATGAAAAAATGTGCATGAAAACGAGCCATCACTCGTTGAATGACAACAGACTTTATTGAAGAATCCCTACTGTTGACCAATCACCGACGAAGGGGCGTAGACATTGGCTCCGAAACTTCGGCTTGCCTTCATAAAGAAATGTGTGTGTCCGAGCAGCCCCCCAAAAACTCACAAAGTCCAAAACGATCAAAAACGTCACAAAACACTTCCAACCTGTTTTGGCTGGGAAGCATGCGGATGCCTTAGCAGTGGTCTAGGACTTTATCGCCCCTAGTGGCGAAGGAGACTTGTTAATAGAAGTTTGGCATCACGTGTCTTAGTGACGCAGAATTGAAATCACAGGCAACAAGAAAAGCAGCCTCCGGGTGCATGTTTTCCTGCTGGTTTATAGCCTCATGCAGTTCGTTAAGCTTGTTGTTGTTGTCCTGAGGTGTTGTTGATGAAGAGACATACCCCTCCCCCTCTGGATTTCCCTGAATCCAATGACCTGTCCCCTCGGAGAATGGGGAATCCATTGAGTTGGATAGCAATGGGGGTTATCTTGTCCGAAAGCCATGCTTTAGAAAAACAGATAATATTGCAGTTACGAGAGTCCGGTTGATAGCAAATCTGCGATCGGAGATCATCCAGTGACTATAGAATGGAGGGAAGTGGTAGCCGGTTTTCCCTTTGCCTTAGTCTCAACAGGACGCCCGATCTCTTGCCTCTTTGCCGCCGTTTCCTCTTGAGTAGCCCGAAGAGTGGATTGGAGGTACATAAAGAGCCCAAGGCGGATGAGTCGAAGTTGAAATTGAGGTTAGTTACTGCTGATCTGATGTTCAACATTTTTTGTTGATCATAAGAAATGATAGTGGATACATTTAGTGCAAATAAAGTACAGATAAACGCCAAAATAATCACAAAATAGCAAGGTTGGGTCGGCGTTGTCAAGACCCAGCCATACAGTACAGCGCCATATTACTATTCCATTTTGTGCAATGCAGCGTGAGTGTGATGTTTCAGCTTATATGTAAATTCTGCACATATTGGGGATTAATGTAAATGTACAGAGAAATTCATGTGCATATATTATATGGATTAAATTATTTTACCAAATACAAGCAGATAGTCTTTCTTTATTTATTAGACACTTTCTACCTTTATTGGTAATGAAGTCCAGTAAATGTTGAATGATACTGTACAAGGTGTAGTAGGTCTATGGGTCAGTCCCACATTTTTCAGAATCTGCCTGAATAGTTTAAATAATTTACAGAAGACATTCATAGACATCATTTCCCGATCCCGTTTAATAAAACAACAAAGAATAAATCAGCTCATCACACAATTTTATTAATCCAAACCTAACGGAAAGGCAGAGGTTCAGACATGATTTTGGCCTCTCAGACATCAGTCTCAGAATAGAAACCAATGCCTCCAAAACCAGTGACATTGGAGATCCATCGAAAGTAGCGTGACACACGAGTGTAGATGCCATACTTCCAATCCTTGGCGCACTCCTCGCCCCAGCTCACAATGCCCGTCAGGAACCAGGTGTCCCGGTACCGGGTGGCATGTGGACCGCCACTGTCCCCCTTGCATGAATCCTTTTGCTCGCTGTGGTAACCAGCACAGAACATGAAGCGGGACACCCGTTCTGCGCTGCTGCCCTTGCACTCTGTCCGGTCCACATAGGGCACCTCCACCTTCTGCAGAATGGAGGCTTCAGGGCCCTGGAAGCGCATCCTGCCCCAGCCGCTGACCACTGAGCTGGAGGCCTCTCTCAGCACCGTCTCAGTGAAGTCCTTGGGCCCCAGGCAGATGGGGAGGCTGTAGTCGGAGAGGACTGCGGGCGTGAGGAGCTTCAGCAGGGCTATGTCGTGGTTGTACTGGCTTGTCTTTGCGTCGTATCGCGGGTGCATGTGATGCTCAGCAACAGAGTGGTCGTGCTCGGTCTCCTCTCTGACCTGCATGTTGTGCTCCCCTGCAGAGACACGTTGTGATCAGATACAAAAGCTGAAGAACATTTGCACATCCAGGTACTTTTTTTTGCAGGTGCTGGAGTTATAGGTGAGTTCATGAAAAATAAAAACAATAACGCAGCACACTGCTGTTCATGCTCCCAGGTGATTTTATTGACACAACGTTTCAACCCATAGGTGTTTGTTCATCAGGCAAAATCTTGGATGACTGATGAAGACCTAAGGGTCGAAACCAGTGGAGGCTGCTGAGCGGAGAACAGCTCATAATAATGGTCGGAACAGAGCAAATGGAATGGCGTCAAACACCTGGAAACCATGTGTTTAAAGTATTTGATACCATTCCCCGGATTCCGCTCCAGTCATTACCACGAGCCCATTCTCCCCAATTAAGGTGCCACCAACCTCCTGTCGTCGAAACATGTCAATAAAACCACCTGTTAGCATGAACAGCAGTGTGTGACGTTTTTATTTGTATTTTGAATTGTGATCAGATAAACAGGATTTGAATGAGTGAAGCACAAAGACAAAATAGGCAGCATCACTCCTACCTGGTTTAACTCCACCTCAGTGGCGGCTCCTGAAAAAATTCTCAGGAGGGGCAATTTTTCTGATGATTTAGGTGACCTACACACATTTTAAAAAAGATATGTCCAGCAACAACATGAAGACAGGGGCAGCATATAAGTCAATACCAGAAGCATTTATTGACTGATCTGGGGAGATGGATTCCAGTTTCTGTGACAGATTATAAATAATCTCTGATGCCTTTGTTATATTAGCTTTTGGTTGAATGTACTGTCGTAGTAAATATATAATGTTATAGCTTGGTCTGACTAAAATCTTGTGCATGACCCATTTTGTGTTGGGCGTTTGTTTTCAATCAATGCTGTTCCTATCCTATAACAATGGACAAAAGAGTCCTATCTTGTCAGCCTTGTCAGCAGGTGGCCAAGGACAACACCCACGCCATAGGTCTCTCAGTTCTTCCAACTCACGAGTTCTTGCTCTGAGGACACACACACACACACACACACACACACACACATCATCACTGATAACACACACACACACACACATCATCACTGTTAAACACACACACACACACACACAAAAATCCCCTCTCTTTAGGCTGAACATTTGAAGACAGAGAAACCGAGTTTGACGAACGGGTCCGTGCACGCGATTCCAGATATCTTTACCTCTGAATAAACTGCCTTTATTATACCATATCCACCCTGTCCAAAGTCTCTACTTGGTCTCAGTTCTCCAGTAAACTTGTGATTATCAACAGTACACAACGGTAACAAACAATTGGGGGAACTCACGGGGCAGATAGTAAGGTCGCAGTGACACAGAAAGCAGTTCAATGTCGGGGGTACAGAGTCGCTCTCTTACCAGGATCGCGGTCCGCTCTGACCAGGGTGAAGCCGGCCGGCTCCACTTCTCTGTCCGGGACTCTGTCATCCAGCCAAGTCTCCCAGCTGTATTGGATTCCGCTGCCAGCAGCGTTTTCATTATTTAGTCCGTTCGTAGCGGGTATGTACACGATCAACAAGATCAGTCCAAAACCCACCACTGGAAATCCATGGTTGGCAGAATGTTTGTAAACTAAGTCTACAAATTAAAAACATAAAATAACGCCACACTGCAGGTCGCAACAGAGACGCTGCTAGCCGCTATTTTCTTAGTTACGTTCATGGTTACGTCACGTATGACGAAAGCGCGTAAGTGCAAGCCCACAGACACCCATAGAGAATGTATTGAAAGCTTTGAAATTTGAAAAAAATAGATTTTACATGACAGGCTATGAGAGACTTCTGGGCGATTTTCAACCTGACTGAAATCGCCCCAAAAACGGGCGGGGCCATTTGAAGCACGACTTTAGCCTGATTTGACATTTAGTGGCAGTCAGATCAGATTAGAACACTGATAACTACTGTTGCCGTGATATAATTGATTAGAAAAAAATCCCTTCCTTTTCCCGTTTGGCAGTGTGTCGCCCATATCGCCCTATTGAACAGGCCGTCCCTGCTCCACCTACTGATGAAGAAGGATCCAATCTTACCCTCGTTCAGGCAGTGGGCAGCAGTAATGACCCACAGCTCACTGAGGAGAGAGCTCTGCCCGGTCAGCTTGCTCATCAGAGACACCTGGCAGAGTCCCAGAGATTAGCACAGACAACAGCAGTCTTAACACATTGACTGGAGGGGCTTAACCTCTACGAGACATTACACCAGATAGGGAACATAGACAGAGACATTACACTAGATAGGACACATAGACAGAGACATTACAACAGATAGGACACATAGACAGAGACATTATACCAGATAGGACACATAGACAGAGACATTATACCAGACAGGGAACATAGACAGAGACATTACACTAGATAGGACACATAGACAGAGACATTATACCAGATAGGACACATAGACAGAGACATTATACCAGATAGGACACATAGACAGAGACATTACACCAGATAGGACACATAGACAGAGACATGAGACATTACACCAGATAGGGAACAGAGACAGAGACATTACACTAGATAGGGAACATAGACAGAGCCATTACACTAGATAGGACACATAGACAGAGACATGAGACATTACACCAGATAGGGAACAGAGGACAGAGACATTACACCAGATAGGACACATAGACAGAGACATTATACCAGATAGGGAACATAGACAGAGACATGAGACATTACACCAGATAGGACACATAGACAGAGACATTATACCAGATAGGACACATAGACAGAGACATTACACTAGATAGGACACATAGACAGAGACATTATACCAGATAGGAAACATAGACAGAGACATTATACCAGATAGGACACATAGACAGAGACATTATACCAGATAGGACACATAGACAGAGACATTATACCAGATAGGACACATAGACAGAGACATTATACCAGATAGGACACATAGACAGAGACATTATACCAGATAGGACACATAGACAGAGACATTACACCAGAGAGGACACATAGACAGAGACATTATACCAGATAGGACACATAGACAGAGACATTACACCAGAGAGGACACATAGACAGAGACATGAGACATTACACCAGATAGGGAACAGAGACAGAGACATTATACCAGATAGGACACAGAGACACTAGATAGATTAGATAAATCTTGCTAACATGCAAGTTGTAAATTCTAATTTGTGTGACAAAAAGGATAATTGGGTATCCAAATGAGTAGCTCTAACCCACTGGGTATGTCAGCGTAGCTCTACCCACTGGGTATATGAGTGTAGCTCTGTGGAAAATTATTTGCATAGCTGGCAAAGCTGTCAGCTCCTGATCCCTTACTAAAGACTCAGGCTGATGAGGTTCTTCCTCATTAATTATGTATTTTCCAATATCCAGCTGTCCTGTTGTTTTCTCCGTCTGAGCTTTGGTGACCTTTGGTGACCTTTGGTGACCTTTGGAGGATAAGAGAATAAGCACGGTATTAGGCCTCAAAAACAGGTCACACACAAAGTCACAATGTGAGCATGGTGGAGTGGTTCTACCAGCAGCCAAGTTACCTTCTAAATGTAATCCGTTAGTTACCAGTTACCTGTCCAATATTGTAATCAGTAACGTAGCTTTTGGATTGCCCAAACTCAGTAACGTAATCTGATTGCTTTCAGTTACTTTTGGATTACTTTCCCCTTAAGAGGCATTAGAAGAAGACAGAAAGGATCCATCAAAGGCATTTGGTGTGTTATCATAGTGTTCTCTGACTGGTGCTCAGACTAAGTCATGTGGAACAAACTTAAACTTGTGCCTTTTTTCAATGCTGAATTGAATGTTATTGAGAAAACAGAAAGGTGTCATAATGTTGTTTTTTTATGCAAACATTCTTTCTGAATTTAAAAGTAATCCAATAAGTAATCATCTAGTTTTTCAAAAGTATCTGTAATCTGATTACAATATTGATGTTGGTAAAGTAATTGATTACAGTTACAGTTTTTTTATCATCCCCAACCCTGCCAGCAGCAAAGGCAGTGTGAAAGCATCAGTACAAAACATAGTACATCAAAACTATTGGGAATATTAATCAAACGTACAACAAAAGCATTAGGCGTGTATATTTCATTACAATGTCCTAAACCATTACGTAGTTTTACACAGCTAACAGAATGTACAATTTATCACAGACAACGCTTTCATCCCCTTTGGACATCGACCTGTATTCAAGCAATGATACTCACAGCAATGACTTGTTCACACAGAAATAACTGTGGCTTGGCAATGACAATGGCGAGATGAAATATTCATTTGGTTCCTGTTTATGAAAGCTTGGCCCTCTGAGTCGGTACTTTGGTTTGCTGTTTTTGTAGAATACGTTTAGTGTAAATTCACCCCCAGAGCTACACCGGAAGGAAACAAGGAAAGTAATTGTGTCAATTATGAATACTGTTTCTCTTGCACTAACAAAATAAAAGGCTTACCATTGAGAAGATACTTTAATCTTGTTGCAATATAACACCAAAAATGTCAACTGTGGATAGCCTAGGTGATATTTTGCATTCACATATACTGTGTTTCTCATAGGCCTAGCTTAAAGGAACAGGGCCACATCATCATTTAAAAGTAATCCAATAAGTAATCATCTAGTTTTTCAAAAGTATCTGTAATCTGATTATACTATTGATGTTGGTAGAGTAACTGATTACAGTTACAGTTTTTTTATCATCCCCAACCCTGCCAGCAGCAAAGGCAGTGTGAAAGCTTCAGGACAAAACATAGTACATCAAAACTATTGGGAATATTAATCAAACGTACAACAAAAGCATTAAGCCTATATATTTCATTACAATGTCCTAAACCATTACATACAGTGCATTCGGAAAGTTTTCAGACCCCTTCACATTTTCCAAATGTTGTTACGTTACAGCCTTATTCTAAAATGGATTTTGAAAAAAAATAATCCTCATTAATCTACACACAATACCCCATAATGACAAAGCGAAAA